AGAGGGAGAGAGAGAGAGAGAGAGAGAGAGAGAGAGAGAGAGAGCAGGACAATATCTTCCGGGGTCTGCTAGTTATCTATATTTTAGAGAATGGATGGCAATGCAGAAGTAGGATTTACTGCTCAATACTGAACATGACTCAGAAGGGAGGCATTTATTCCCATGAAATTAAAATTTTAAAAATGGATACTCAATCAAATTAGTAATATTGGATTCTTGTAGCGAGTAGCAAATTAAATTTTCACAAAGCCTTTGTTAAAACTAGTATTTACAAGGCAATACTACACGAATTGATTGCAGAATATGACAGAAAGGTAGTGAATTAACAGAAGTTATTAATCTATATAATTGTCACCTTTCATCACCTTGTTGGATGAAATTACGCTCTGTGAATTTGTTCCACAGTCGTAAAGAAATCCAAATTGTGACCATGTTACTGACTAACAATGTATTTTAATAATTAAATTTGTTCAAAGAATTGGTTGCCCCGACCAATTCTTTGAACAAATTTAGTTACAAGATATTAAGTAACCTAAAATCACAACAACTCTAAATTTCACTCAAACGTTTGTACATAGAAAGACACGAAATGTAGTTTCAAAAATGAACCAGTCATTTACCGAAAATAATGTTGAAATCTAAAAGCACCCACAGACAAAATTGTTGAAGACAATTGCTTCTTACACTTCATTATAACAATATTTCAAATTATCATTAATCAATCAAGTTTTATGATTAAATATTTCCATGCCAACTTTTGTTTACTCATATTATTCTCTCAATTAGAGATCAGTTTAATATTTATATATAGTAATACAAGCTGTGATACCTTTTCCCTTCCATTGCTGGCTGAAGAACAAACTTGTCAAAATACAAGCGAACAAGTCGTTCCCTTTCCTCTTTTCCAGGTAACGAAAATTCCACCATTTCATCTAATCGATCATTAACAGCCCAATCAAACTGTTCAGGAGTATTTGATGCCAAGACCAACATAAATCTGAATTAAAAGAAATCAAGTACTGCTGTATTTATCATAGGGAAAATAAGGTTATTTCATTTCTTGCTTCACAAGACTTACTTATTAGATTGTTCTCCAGTTCTATATAAAAATGCATTCAAAGCGGCACGCAAGTCCTCACTAATTGTTTCAGAACTACGTTTTCGAAGAAATGCATCTGCTTCATCAACAAACAATAAAAGACCACGACCAGATGTACCTGCCCAGTCAAATACCTTGTGAATAGCTGTAACTCCATCTCTTCCCATGGGAGCAACATCACCACCAGTCATGATGGCAAAGTCCATTCCAGAATGTGTTGCAAGTTTCTAAAACATAACATACTTCAACATTATTTCCCAACATTTCATATATATCAATCAATAAAATACTTTCATATACCTTAGCAAACATGGTCTTGCCTGTCCCAGGTGGTCCATGCATTAAAATATTTCTGTACATTCCTCTATTATGTTTTGTATTTTTGGTAGCAATTGCAACATCCCTAAACAAACAAAAATAAAAAGATTTAAATCCATTATAACAAAATCATCACAAAAACAATCCACAAACTATCTCAAAGCATACAATAATCAACAGATCTGAAATACAGTTTTTCAAATGATAGGCATGATAGTTTCCCAATCCCCTTATTAATAACTATAAATTAAAAAGATGATTATGTTTCCATATTCCTCTTGCATCATAACTAAAGACAGAATTTCCATGCAAATGCAAGTTTACTACAGCTCTTAACCTTTTTCCTGCCAGCTGACCGACCACTGTATAAACTGGGTTCATGTTAGCTTCTGCACTGTGTTCAGACATTGCTCCATTCAACTGCAGGACAGTCATTAGTAGAAGAGAAAGCAGTTTGCAAAGAAGACACTTCATGAGGATGAGTTAAAATGTTCAGACTTTTAAACCATGAAGTTTTGCCCAAAAAAGTATAATTCTTTTACATATAATATTAAAGAAAAGTCATTTTATATGTTGAAAAACTTTTTTTCCGAAAAAGGAGTGAATCTGTCTAAAACAATTTGGAAAAATCATTAATATTTAACAAATTTGAGCACAAGTTTGATTGTGCATATTTCATTTATTTTACCCTTCATTGTGCATGTTTGATAATTTTGATAATTCATGCATGGAGCATGATGGAGGATGAAAATCCTATCTTTATTCAGAACTAAAATTTTAATAATCACTTTTAAAATAACCATTTCTAGGTCACATTCATTGCCAGCAGATACAACACTCAAGACTGTTCCTTACCACAGCGGTCGAAATGATAATTGTCCAGATAAAGTTTTTAATGCAGCAATGATGATTTTGATCAGTTTGGAAGTTTTTTTTAGTAAAGTACTCAAAACATTAAACAACAAATGTATTTGATTTTCAAAAAGTTACAAGTTTCATTACATCAGTCTTTTGATGTGAAACAAAATATTTAATCTGAGAAAATAAATAAACTAACTGGTAACTAATCTATATTCTTACATAACTCACCTTAAACGCTCTTCCAAACGAGGCTCCAATACCACCCCTGATAGAGCATCTTGGTTTCCAAACCTTAATTTTTTAACAGATTCAACTGGATGTTTCAGAGTTTCTAACAGAGAGAAGCGGGAGGTTTCTCTCACTAATGACGGTTTTCCTATAACAGAAACAAACTTCATGGTATTTATTCATTAAGTAATTTTAAAATACAAAATATCGAGGATCAAAACAATTTAAGCAACTTCTTTTTAACTCTCGAATGTGTACATATTGTTTCAAAATAAAATTAAAAGATGATTACTATCGCCTGAAAAATTATATACAAAAAATGTATACACACACACACACACACATTTTCCTATTAATGTGCATCCACAGAATCCATTTACCTACTAATCACATTTTAATTTAATTATTTTACAATAATATTGCTAAAATACTGAAATATTAACTTAATAGTAACATGTAGCATAAAATTAACAAAATATCCATCCCTTGTGAAGTCCTTATCCATTAAGTGTGAAGCTTATTTTCACTTTCAAAACAGTTAAAGAGTACTATACTTTTATAATTACAATTTTGGGGGAAAATGTTTGAAATTTCTCTATTGCATTTTCAAGAATTTCTGCTGTTCTAGGTACTCTGGATACATTTAGTTCTTCCTGTTTCATCTGCCAGGGAAGACACTGCACTGTCTGTTATGTTTACAAAAGTGTTCAAGAAAAAATTACTTAAATTAAATTTTTGAATTTCGAGACTAGTATATGTTGAAACATGCAGGGAAATATAGAGAAATATGGAGAGGGGTGTGTGAGTGTGTGGAACAGGGTGAATAAAGTAAGGACATCAGAACATTTTCAGAATATGCAGTGCAGAATATGAGGAAACCAAGAGAGTAAGGGAACTTGTGGAGAACTGTGCAGAGGTATATGCAGGAAACATGTAGTGAACATGCCAGGAGGCACAAGGGAAACACAGGAAAGCAGGGGGGGCATTTAAGGAAACACAAGAATTGTGAGGAACTTGCAGGAAATTTGGGGATAACGCATGGGAAATGTGTAGGGGGCATGCCGAGTCAGAGTTACATTTTGTAAGAGGTATCCTACTGCTTAGAACTGATTGAATCATCTGTTACATTTTGGGAGATATCACTCTTCCAAGAGCATGGATAAGGCAGGCAGAAACTGGCTCTGTAAACTTCAGTTGACACATCAATAGATCCATTATGACAGGCCACAATTACAACTCTACAATTCAGGAGCCGGCCATCCTTAAGTCGGGATCCAGTATGAAGCTATTTTTGCTTATAAAACAATGATTTCCAAAGTGGGATATGTTCACAGGATCTAGCTAGTTCTTTTTATTCAATTTCTCTAGTCACGAAGAAATTCATGTTCAAGAGGAAATTAAACACTATTTTTCACACATTTCTTTTACTTTTTAAAACATGATTTCTGTGATCCAATGATATAATATGCATTTCAAATTCTCAGAAATGAGAGTCAATCACACAATATCACTGCAAATTGATCATTTCTAGAGAAGCACTAACTATGCAATTTCAGGTATATTTGGACATTGCAGAGTTAACTTTTTTGAAATAATATAAGAATTATTCAGGAGCTAGAGATTACATGAAAAGAAAACAATAAAAAATAATAGGCGAACGCTACATATACAGACTCACCTAAGCGAGATTCAATATATCGAGCCCCAACACTTGTGACCCCTTTTGCCGAATAAACACCTAATGCTACCAAAGACAAACCACCAGCAGCTGCTAAAATCTTATCCCAATCACTGAGCAGAGCTTGGGCTCCTGATCCAATTACTGAACCAGCTGTCCTGAAAAATGCACAAATTTACTACAGCTGTAATTCACAATGATGCAACTTTCAGTAGGATGTCATGATAGAAAAATTACATACTTTATAGATTCTAGTACAGTTGTTCGCTTTTCAGCAGCTTTTAATCTAATTTGTTCAAGAGTAAGATCTTGATTTTCCCTGTCTATTTTAGCCTTGGCACGCATCTCGGCTTCTAAACGTTTCATTTCATGTTTATCTCTAAGTTCCATTTCATGTTCAACAGTTGCTTTGCGCATTGCCTCTTGACGCTGAACTGATTCCTCTTGTCTTCTTAAATTTTCATCATTCATTCTCTGCTGCTGCTGAAGTTGATCCTCATATCTAACAAAAGAATTAAAAATCTAAGAGTGATTCATCAAATAGTAATTTAATCTATTAATTATGCTTACACTACCTCTTACGAGCTAATTGATCTTGATATTGTGCTCGCATCTGATGTTGTTTTGTCTCTTCAGCCAGAGTCTTACGCTTTTCCTCGGCATCTACACGTCTTTGTTCAACTTTACTCTGCTCAATATGCGCTTCATATTCTTTAACCTTTGTTTGATACTCTTGTTGTCTTGTCACTTCTTGGAGCTTGGACAATTCAAGAGCTTCTTTGGCATGTCCTATGAAACAAATGTTAATTACTCAGGAACTTAAAAAAATCAATAAAGAAATACAAAACAAATTACTAACTTGATTTCTCCAGATCTTTTGCAGCTTGTGCAGCTCTCTCCAGAGCAGTAGAATCAAACCTATACGCTTCCATTCTTTTACGCTCATTTTGTGATTTATCATCATCACCTCCCCCAGTTCCACCTGCACTAGCAGGAGGTGCAAGTGGATCCACCGGAGGTGGAGGTTGTTGACTTCTTCCTCCAAATAACCACATCCTGTCCACAAAAGTACTCCTGAATTCGGCTGAAGATAAGCGTCACTATTAATATTCCACGATAAACAAACCCAGCATTAACCAACAACTTAAACCATTCACCTCAACCACCAGCACTGCACCCGGCAAACCCGGCACGATCACCCGCAAAACAGTGCGGACCAGAAGAAAGCACGAGGTTTATGACACTCCTTGATTTTTCTCCACCAAAGATAATTCATATAAACAGAGTAGCCAACATGTATGCTCCTCAGTAGACTGAATTATTGTTCTTCCATGATATGAAAGAACAGAACACGCTAGTATCGAACAAAGAGTATATGAGTATGGTACCGAATGTATTTGTCATCCAATTTATCCATCATCTTGCTGAAGACTTTATTACTGTTTATAACCGTGAGATTGTGTCCATGTGTCGTCTCTACCCGAAATAGTGTAATTCTTTTATATTGTAGGCTACTTGGTTCGTTATGTAGTTCAATTATATGACATTTTATTCGTTATATAGTACTTAAATATTATGTTTTGTATGTCAGTAATAAATGGATTTTTTTAGAAATGTCACAAAAATTGTTAAATAGTGACAAACTTTGTGAAAGGTATTTCACTGTACTATCTAGAGAGTACATAACTATTGGGCATGTGACATTATGACTTAATCTTCATAGTATTTGTTGAAATGTGTGTCTGCATTATCTAGTGGAGAATTCCAGCCCCACAGAAAGAAATACTGCATAAGTGATACAAAACGAAATCCACGGCTGATATAAATGATAGCAAAATAATAATATTTGAAAAATCTCTGGAAAAGAAGCAAATTGAGGTTTCACTAAAGCTTACTCACTTTTTGTATACTTTTCAGTTGTCTTATTCTCATTTAGAGGTAAAAAGGTTACAGCTTGTAAATGGTACAATTTTGTGAATTACAAGTTTGGATTTTGAGCTTTTTTGTGTGTAAGATTTAACGGAAATTTTCTGTTCAAAAGAATTAAAAGAAAATGTTTAATTAGCTTATTTTTTTTCAAATGTGATCTATTATAAAGAAAGCTGGCATTGTTATTTCCAGGATGAAAAAGAAAATGCTAATGGAAACGATATTAACTTCTCTCCTAAAAAAGTTTGCCAATTGAAATGAGCTTAATACTTAGTTAAGAAGATATATAGCTGACAACACATTGAAATGGAAACTTGTATTCAAAAATTCCCATACAATTGGGAATTAAAGGGATAATTGTTTGCAATTTGTTTTATCCACTTCAGATTAGATTTGAGTAAAGAGAGAGGAAGATCTTAACATTCTCAACTCCATCGAAGATGGTAAAAGTTTAAGAGTACTCATTGATAGATGGCAGAAACTTGAATTTGCACTTCTATCTCCCAAGATTGGTAAGGCAGCAATAAAGCTTACACCGGTAGTAATTCAGAAGGATGCTCGGCCCCAGTAGGTCATTTATGAAATATAGTGTTAGTTCAAGCTACGTTAATAATAACAATCGGTGGTAAGGAGTTCATTACAGACATAATTTCTTCTCGTGCTGGGAAATCTGGTTCTAATTATGGACAAAATCATTGCCCTTTTGAAACAATCTCGAATTAGGAAAAACAGATAGTGAACAAAGAAAGAATGAAACTTTTCATATAAATTCAGTTACTTCCAGTAATAGAATATTAGATGTAATTGAACATCTCCACATGTCTAATGGTAGTCTTGTTGATCTTGTTTGGGAAGTAATAAATGATGATATGGTAGAAATTTATATGAAAGAAACTGCAAGATATGCTAGTCAAAAGAGCAATGATTCAACTAAACTATGACGAAATTTATAAATACATTGCTATACTGTTTCTTCCTTGATATTGTAAACTCATAAACAGACTTATGTACTGGGAAACCACACCTAACAGCAACAATGCTCCTGTTTCCTATATGGGGCATTCTTTGTCAAAACTGTCAACAGAATAACGAAGGGTCATAAATCAGGAAAATAATTGTATTTTCAGATTCAGTATGATTTTTCTACTGATGTTAAGCAACAAAAATTGCACAACAAACATTTTTCAAGGTAATAGAGGCATAAATGAGTAAAAAACTTTTGAGTAGATACTTGCCTACAAAATTTCATCCTTGATATTGAAAGGATTCGGAACTACGAGCAATTTTATTGCTAAATTTGTGATGAAAAGGTGTTTTTTAACTGACAAAATTATTTTTTATTGGGAAACGGTAGGTCCATTACAATTTTTTTGTGCTAATTTTTGAACATTCAGCTTCTTTCTGATATTTGCTTGAAGGAAAAATCTCTACCTTCAAATTTGAAATAGGAATAAGAGGGGAAAATTTGAAATTTTTGGCAATTCACATCTAACAGTGAAATTTAATGGCATACATTAAATTTTAATTAAAAACCGAATTTTACAAAAATTGCAAATTTAACCAGAGGGGTTCATAGAATTTTGACATTTTTAATGACATGAGTATTTTCTCCTAATTCTTGTATATATCTCTTATAAAACCATGGAAAATATTTCATTTCTGGAGACAAAAAGTAGTATCACAATTTAATTTAGTTTCAGGAAGTGCAATCTTTTGCCACATTTGGACAATAACTGTGCTCTCTAACGGCTTTTTCTGAAAATCGAGTTTTTTAAAAGTTTGAAAATCAGGGTCATCTTTGATTTGCTCTAGTTCCTAAACTATTTAATCTACAATGCTGCAATTTCCACTGATTATCAAGACATCAGTTTTTATCTTGTAGTTTAGACAGAATTTTTTATCTACATGAACTAGTATAACAAGACCATTAAACCATGATTGCAGCGAAATTTCACTATATCTTCAAATTAGTTCTCTTAAATCCCATAGAAAATGTAACGACATCTTATTTCTGTTCAAATTATTAAATCACGATATTGACAGTAGCGAACTATTATCTTTGATCAATTGGAAAATATTGTTGCATAACCTCAGATTTAATCAAAACTATCCATTTTTTTAATACCATTCATGAGAACTAATCTCCTATATGGTGCATGTGCAGAAACTATAATAACTGTGATATCAACATGAATTGTATCTGTTAGCCAATTTGTTAATACAAAGTCACTTTATCTCTGCGATTACAATTAAAATGTATTATGTTTTTGTTATTTTTAGTATCAAATTATAAATATTGTATAAACCTGTAATATTGGGCAATTGTCTGTTTAGATGCAAATAAATAAATAACATGTCGATGCCCTAGAATCCTTTTAATGTAAAAAAAGGCATTTTTTACTTAAGTTATTTGCAATATCCTTGCAAACATAGCATCAAAAGAAAATTAGGTTTTTACCAGTGTATTTGCCATTAAATTTCACTCTTGACTTCTAGTAAATTTTCTTGTTTTCCTTGTTTTTATATCATGATGAATCTAAAAATATAATTATTTTCATAATATCTGGCCCTTCAATATTTTGTTGACTGTTTTGACAAAGATTGTCTCATCAAGAAATGTTTTTGATAATTCGCTATTTTTTTCACATAAATGAAATTACTAACATTGTTAAAGAAGAAAAAATGTTTACAGTTCAACAATGCTTTCACATCTAAATAAAAAGCTTCAAGATTTGGAAGTATTACTATGCTCACATTTCTCTTTAGATGAAGCCATTGAGTCATAATGTGGACACTGCTTTACAAAGTAATTCGTACAAGGAAAGCCGATACATCACAGCTTGGGGAGGTCAGCCATATCTAAAGGTTATGTTTTAAAATTTCAGTCTTATTTCAGTGCAAGCAACAGAGATCCTAAGAAAACACTAGGGTACACTGTACTTGAAAATGTTTGTATTGGTTACATTCCTCAGAACACCACTATTTACATAGATAATTATTATAACTCCTATATTACGGTTACTTGAAACACTGACCTTACAGAGTTAAATGTATTGTAACAGTGAGGAATGACTGTTTAGAGAAGGCTCCCTTATAAGATTTCAAGAAGGATCCCAGACATGCTGTCAGTTTGTCTTTATTTTTACTGCTCGTAATTGTGTGGAAATCACTAAAAATCTATACAACAATAATTTTTAATTTCCTTTTTAAATATAATGTCAAGAATTTTGTTTTTCGCTCTCCACTGACTGAAATGTCTTTCATTTAAAACTACCCCTTACTTCCCACTGTGTGTTGTATCATATATGAACTCTTCACCAGTTCTACCCCTTACTTCTGATATATCATACATGAAATCTTTCTATGAATTTGAACTTGCTTTCAAAAAATAATGTACATAATGTTATTAAGAACCCTTTGATAAGGCTCCTGTGAAATTTGATCAAAATCCGATAACATTTTTAATTGAGATATAGCAGGTTAAATCAGCTTGAATACTGTATTTTGCCCCCTTTCATCCCACCTTATACAGGGAATAATGTTTTGTGGGGTAACTCACCTCATGCCATATTGATTTTTAAATGTCAAAAAAGATCATTTAGAATAATTTGTATTAGTAGAATCGCTGTTATAGCTAACTTAATAATAATGATAACTTAGATGTAATAATGCTACTTAAAATAATAATGTAAGTTAGAAACATAATTGAAGAAAACTATTTGAAACTACACCTATTATTATTACCACATATGTACATTTATAAAACCATAATGTTTGTAAAGTTTATTTCACATCTGTGTACAAAGAAATCGATTGTACATTTTCATAATGCAAGGAATAAAAATCTGTTTGTAATACCTGTTGACACTCACTCGTGTAAAAACAACTTATTTTAATCTGCACTTCATTATTAAGGATCTACAGACACAGCCATATTCTCCTTTCTCAATTATAAACTTATTGCTCTAAATCAGAAAGATCCCATTGATCTTTTTCTACATTTATCAAAAGCATTTGATATTAATGACCATCAGTTAATGTTATCAAAAAGGAATTAGAGGGGAGAGAGAGAAAAACAGTAAAGCACAAACTATTCGAAGAATGAAACCCATCATAAACACGAGTAAAACTGTCCCTAAACTTCAATTATCCACCTTTAAAAGAAAACTCACCAGCATACTTGGTCATCAAAAACATACCTGAAACAATAGCCCAAAAACTAACATTCCTTAAATTGACTATTCACGATTCATTACAGACCCAAATACTAAGCTCGCCTAGTAATGTTATGTTTTATACATTTTTAATGCATTTTATATACATTTATACCAATGGTGGGTTTTAACAACTGCTAAGAAAGTGAAAGGCTACCAAAGGCTGAGAAAACTTAATAATATATGTTTGACAGCCAGTGCAGTATATTTCTGAAGGTTTTTATATCTATTACAAAATGTGAAATCATATACAAGTGCGAAATGGTTGTGAATCTGCGATATAATTGCTAAATTGCATTTTATGGTTTCCTCCCCTTTCAGTAGTGTCATTCAGAAACCTGTAGTTCTATACAAGACGGGAATCATTCTATGAATTTGAAATAACTTCTTTAATTATTTATTGAAGTTCACAAATGATGAAAATATTCCCTTATTTCATGATTTTAATAGGAAACTCTAAAAAGCACCAAAATATTTTTTTTTTATCTCAAAGAGACCTCTCTTTAATAATTTTCTCCATAAATGCTACAAAAGTCTTAATTTTTATAGTGCTATAGCCTTGTTTTCAGAATGTGGTTTAAAAAAATTGAGTGTCTAATTCTACCATTACTATACAATTAATTTTTAAATTGAAACTTACACGCAGGGTACTTTGCATTGATTCACATCTAAAACATGGAATCATATTGAAGGGAAATTCCACCAAAAGTGTTCACACTTTCATTATCCAAAACAGAGAACAATGACAAACTGTCACAGGTCCAAGTACTGTTTAAAAAATTACAAATCGTACCTCCCCATGCATGTACATATTTGAAATAGTAATCTTCACTAAGAAGATTCTAATAAAAAGGAAAGAATGTGATACTCTAAATGGTGAAGTTCATAATTATATTAGACAAAAATGAAATTTCCATTAACCCCTGTCACTAAAACTTTTCTCTTTAAAAGTAGCCTTATAGAAGGTATTTCTCAGTAAAAAAAACTAAATTTAAAAACTTAAATTCAATACACACATTTAAAAATAAATATAAATTCCAAATCCATTTGTATATTCAGTTCATGCTTCATTGTCAGCTCATTGAAAAAGAAAAAAAAAATTCTTTGACAATTTTCACAGCCACTTATTAAATTAGTATGCAATGTCTAGTAATTTCTGTGTTGTATTAATATTAAGTAATATATACTACCTTACCTTGCCATTCATTGCTCGAGCTGAATTATGAAAGAAATTATATCCTATATTGCATACCCTTTTTATGAAACAATATTTTTACATGTTTTTATGCAACATTAAAATAATTGTAAAGATGGATAACTTAACCACTTCAGGTAAAAGCTTGAGTGTACTCAGGGATTTAATCTTTTTGAAAACTTAATGGCCTGAGCATAGAGGGAGCCCTTGTTTCTCGAAGTCTTATATCATCATTTACAACAGTTAGTTCAAAAATTGCCTTCTAAACGAATTTTAATAATATGAAAAAATGTTTTATATTATTAACAATATGGAAAAAATAATATATTTTTCTCTATTGCTATGTACATATATTTGGAATATGTTCAAGTACAGTAAACCCTCATTAACACAAATTCAAAAGGACCGAAATAATCAGAGTTTGGGTTATCCGATTATCATAAATGACTGTATTACAGTAATCCCTCACCAGGCCCCAAGTTTTGTTAGTGAAATTTATATTAAGCAAGTTTGTGCTAATGGTGAGTTACTGTATTTCCAATGCTCCCAGACATAGGCCTTTTGTTGCCAAACTAAAGCTTGAGTTTTTCTTGACAACATTGTATTAAAAGCTAAAAATTGCCAAAAAGTAACTGAAATCATTTTAGCTAGGCACAAAAGATACATTAACGTGAACAAATACATTTGAGCTATTGAAATTAACATTACTTAAAACTACCAGATTTTATCTTAAAATTATTGATTTTGTCAGTTATCTCTATTCACAGTAAACAAAATAACAAATAAAATAAAATCTTGGAAATGTTTGATTTGACTTTGTTTTATAATTGGTAAGGGGTAAATGATTCTTTTAAAAAGAAAATAATTCTGCAATGACCATTCTTTATTTTTATAGGTGATCTTTTAAGCAGTTATTCAGCTCAACAGAAGTGTAGGTTTTTTATATAAGGTACAATACCCTTTAATGTTTTATTGTTTTTTTTTGGCTGCTCTCATCAACACAACTTCATAATAAAACGACCACAATTTTGATTTGTATCATTTCTTCACTTCAGAGAAAACAAGAGAAAATTTAATATTCATTTATTCAAAATAAATTTTAAGTCTTCATCTGATCAAGTTTTATTACGCTGAAACTCACTAACATTCATTCTACAATTGCCTGATCAGTCAAAAATGTTTGCTATTAATATCGATAGAGTATTGAAACTCTTAGGTATGCCTAGATGTAAAATTTCATCTCTGTTGTGCCTGCAAAAACAGTTCTGCATTAAAAGCATATAAAAAACTGCATTTAAAGGAGCAACAAACTACTTAGAATTGGTCCTTTTACATTAATTGAAAGAAATATAATAGTGTGTTAACATGCACAAAACAAAAGATAATGATTATTTTAGTGTATTTCACGTCTCACATGTAAAATGTCAATTAACTGTACATGACTGTTCTATAGCAATGATATGCATTCTAGTGGAAGGAATTATTTTAGAATTAGAATATTCAAAACTATAAAGCAGTCATAGGATAAGAAGACAATAAAACATGTTCTAGTATTCAATAATTTATTTGACTCAGTAACACAGAAATAAGTTAGTGTACAACACAAGACAATTTTTTAAACAATTTACATTGTAAAAATTAATAATACTTTTATTAAAATTGGTCCATTTTCTGATGGAAAGTGTCAGAGCTACCAATATGAAGTTTTAATCAAAGTATTTTACATTAGAAAAATACCTTGGTGCTTGTACGGCCTTATGCAACAAAAAAATAAATAAATAACAGATCATGAAATTATTGCCAACATAATTAGTAATGAAAAATATATATTTTTTTAAAATATTTTCTTTCTCAAATTTAATAAAGTGCAAACAATTTGTTTCTTATTGCACATCCTGTTTTTTCCAGTTTTCTCTATCTTAGCGATAACTATATCTTTGACCATGATGTCATTTCAGTAAGGAGAACTCTGCAATCATTATGGACAATCTGTACTTGATATCTGAAAATCTGATGTGTAACAGGATACGCTTCACATGGCATTTGAAAATGGAAGTCCCCCTTTCCTTCATTACTCTTTCAATGTCCACTCCACATCAACAAAAATCATTCTTTCCTTCAGCCCAGGTAAGCTCACATCAAATGCATATTGTGCCACTTAACACGACATTGCCCTGAGTTCACCCAGTATGTTATCTAGTAATTTCTCTCCAAGTTCTTACGTTGCTTTTATCTCCCAGTTTTGCACAATTCAGTTACTTTGAATCAAAACATTTAAATTACAATTCAAAATTTTAACTGAATGGCAAGTTATTAATTCTTGTAATAGTGTTTATTAATATATAAAATGAAAACAAAGCAACATAAAAAATAAATATTTTACTTATCTGCATGAATATTAAATTCTGGATCATGACAATTTTAAGAAACATAGAATCATCGTAATTCTGAATGAGGTAATTAATTTCCAAAATGATTGTTTAGAAAGTATGCATACACAATGTCAAATATATAATACCTTAACACAATTTTAACATTCATTCAGTGAAATGACAAAAATTTTGACAATGTGGACAAAATGGAAAAGAATTAATGAGTAGCAACAATTAAGATTGTTCAAAATTTCAATATTATAATATTTATACATTTTCAACAAGATCACTTAATTAGAAGCAACCAAAAAGTTTAATTACAACCCTTCAATTAATCTCACTTGGAAGTATAAACATTATAATGTGATTGATGTGTTAAAAATACAAAACTGACATTACAAAATACTGTAGAAGAAATCATGATTGCAAAATAATTGTAGTAGCAGCTTATACCTCACCGAGAAAATGTATCTTTATTTAAGCCTGAATGATAGATAAGATCATGTGTCACTCTATTTGAAGCTCTTGAGAGAAGGACCAAATCATCTGTACACTATGCTTTCACTATGTCACCCCATCAATAAAGATCATTTTGAATTGTGCCCAGCACAACAGAACATCAGCAGCACCAACACGTAAACTGAGCAAAATACTAGAAGCGCTCAAACTTTGAATTTGAAAATGTTCAGCCAACAATTTTTTCCCCCTTTTGTTTATGTCCCGAATATATATAAAGAGGTAGATTATTCCATAGTTCTAAGTGCCTCCATTGCTGATTCTAATCTAGAAAGTTCACCTAAAGCCTGTGTCAATTTTTCACTGTTTGATTGACGAATATCTTCTGGAACCTTAGTTGCATAATCAGCAGAAGACATTAATAGATTTAATTTACTAACTTGTTGATGAAGGTTTTCAAACTTTTTCTGTAATTTTGCAAGTTCTTTTGAAGGCTCAATTAAACCTTTAAGCAATAAATGTACCTCACACTTGTCAGATACAGTGAGAATAGCACAACCAGGAGGAGGAGATGTCGAAACTTCCATTTTACTGCAGAAGGCAAGAGTTGCCATAGCATCACTGTATTTCCCAAGGAGATCAGAGACAGCTGAATCTGAACACACTAAATATGCTTCAGTACGTGTCTTGTTTAAAAGATTATAATCTGCTCGAGCTGATCTAACAAGATGAACAATTTTTTGGGTGAATTCCACCTCACTTTCAATTTGCAAATTCCTCCATGGGCATTCCTCTTCATCGGGATATGATGCAACACACACACTAAGAGCTTCTTCAGAAGATTTTCCAGGAAGTCTTTGAAACAATTCTTCAGTGATGAAAGGCATAAATGGAGAAAGAAGTCTCAGGCCAACATGCAAACATGAATACAATGTGTTCTTAGCAGTCTCAATAGCAACTGAATCTCCACTCTGAAAAACAGGTTTTAAATACTCTAGGTACACATCACAAAGATCATACAGCCATAGGTTGTAGCATGCTGTAGTAGCTTGAGGGAAATCATAAGAACTAAAACCTTTGTTACATGCATCACAAGCTGCTGCAATGCGACTCAACATCCACAAATCCATGTACGTTTCATTACCAATTAATTTTTTATCGCCTTTGCCATTGGCCAAAGATGATGCAACTTCTGCAGTACTAAAACTCTGAATGTGAGAGAACCATCGGTCCAAGTGTTGATACTGTTTTGGTACAGATTCACCAAGAGCTTTACATACCTGTGAATCAGCTTGTGAGAGAACATGTCCATTTAAGTAACTATTGTCACCTAAAAATGAATTAAGGAACTGCAAAATTTCTGCCTTTTGAAGCAAATAAGGTGTTTCTTGACTCATTCTGATAATGTTTCTTATGTTTAATTCATTAGAGGCTTTCAGATTGGCAGTTCCTGCAAGTTCTGTGACTCTTTTAATTGGTTTGAAATCATTGCCCAAATATGTGAGAGCAAATTTTGTAGCATTCCATAACTTATTACAAAAGAAGCGGTATCCCTGAACTCTCAAAATATCCAAATTGATATCTCTTCCCTGCATTATATAAGAGCAGAGGGCAAATCTCAAAGCATCTGTTCCACATTCTGGAATTCCACTTGGATAATCTTTTTTCTGACCTTCTTTAGCCTTTTCTATTTCCTTTGAATCCAAATTACCATCATTTAACTTGTTATGAAGTTCCTCTAAAGATATTCCTCTGATCACATCCATTGGATCAATTACATTTCCAAGAGATTTGCTCATTTTTCTTCCATGAGCATCTCGTACCATTGGATGAAGGTACACCTCACGGAAAGGAAGTTTTTTCATCAGCTTCTGCCCAAAGAAAACCATTCGAGCTACCCAAAAAAATAATATATCATGACCAGTTTCCAAAAGTGTGCCAGGATAAAACGCTTCCAGATCTTCTGTCTGGTCAGGCCATCCAAAAATTGAAAATGGAAACAAACCTGATGAAAACCAGGTATCTAGAACGTCTTCATCTTGATTTAGAATTATTTCACTAGGAGACACATTGAATTTCTTAACAGCTTTAGCAAGAGCTTCTTCTTTTGTGCGTCCACTAACCCAACGATCACTTTCTGTGAACTTGGAAAGATCCACAGAAGAATCCTGTGCAGTAACAAAATATGCAGGGATTCTATGACCCCACCACAGCTGGCGAGATATACACCAATCTCTGATATTGTCCATCCAACGAAACCAAATTTTAGTGTGCTGTTCTGGAATAATTTTCAATTGCCCCGAACGAACAGCTTCAGAAGCATTTCTAGCTAAATCATCACATCTAACATACCACTGAGGTTTAATAAGTGGTTCAACTACATCTTTTGAACGACTACAAATTGGAACAACCATGGGATTATTAACAGTGTCTCTGTACAAATCTTTCTCTTTCAGTGCTTCAGTGATTGCTTTCCGAGCATGAAATCGTTTCATTCCAGTAAACTTTCCGTAGTCACCGCATATAAACCCCTCATCTGTAAAAACGGTTATGAACGGCAAGTTGTGTTTCTTACCAACTTCATAATCGTTAGGATCATGAGCTGGAGTTATCTTCACTGCACCAGTTCCAAATTCTCTATCCACAAAATCATCACACACAATAGGGATCTTTCTATTGCAAAATGGATGCATTACAAACTTTCCATGAAGATGAGAATATCGAGGATCTTCTGGATGTACTGCAACAGCTGTATCACCTAACATAGTTTCAACTCTGGTAGTTGCAACTATCAATTCTTCATCTGAATCAACAACCTTATATGCAAACGAAACCAAAACTCCAAATTCAACTTTTTCTTGATAGCCAGGAATTGTAAGAAATGTTCTGCCAGGTAATTCCACTTTATCAACTTCAATATCAGAAATTGCAGATTTCAACGTGCAACACCAATTCACAAGGCGATTACTTCGATAAATGATACCTTCATCATGTAATTGTACAAAGGCTTCAGTGACAGCTCTACATAGTTTAGGATCCATAGTAAAACAAGCACGATCCCAATCAAATGAAGACCCTAATTTTCGTAACTGATCATAAATAATATCCCCTTTCTGCTTACGCCATTCCCAAACCTTTTCAATGAATTTCTCTCTTCCAATTTCATGGCGTGTTTTATTTTCTTCTCTCCAAAGCTTTTTCTCCACTACAACTTGGGTGGCAATACCTGCATGGTCACAACCAGGATTCCACAGCGTTGTTCGACCTTTCATGCGATGCCACCTGGTTATGGCATCTTCAACAGAATTGGTCAAAGCATGCCCAAGATGCAATGAACCTGTTACATTTGGAGGAGGAATTACCATTACAAATCGTCCATTTGGATTATGTTCCAAAACCCCTTTCCGATTGTATTCAGGTTTAAAAAATCCTTGTTTTTCCCACCAACTGTACCATGCTGCTTCAACATATTGTGGACTATATGAATCAGGCATGGGACATTTTGTGTCTTTCTTTGTACCTGGAGGAGTGTTCAGCGTGTAAGTTATAGATTCTTTCACTTCTTTCTTCTCTTTTTTCGGAGCCTTTTCTTTTGCTGTATGCGAGGGTTCCTTCTGCTTACTTTGCTGTTTTTGTTTGAATTTCTCTAATTTGGCCAATTTCTTCGCTTCTTTCTCCAGCTGTTTAGCGGTTTTCGGAGGCTCGTCCTGATTAATCCCATTTACACCATTCACAACAGCCTGATTGTCAGACATGTTCCAATTATGCCAAAATTATACTGCTCAGGTAACCTAGAAGTACACTCACGATTTAACTTGACGTATGGCTGATTGCTTGGCGAGCACCAGTCTTCAGACTGGCAGTCTGATGAAACAACACTACTTTTTCTGCAATGATTCAAGAGAGTGGGAGTAAGATGAAAGCTGTATTCTGTGAGTGAGAGTGGGAGTGGTGGAAACAGAGGGAACAATCCTTTCCAGTCACTATTTGATCCTTTCACTTGCGCAGAGGCAGTACGCAAGAGAATGGTGGTATATAATCAAAGGACACGTGCAAAGTATTCAAGCACTAATCTTATCACAAACTAAGATACTGGTGAAACAACTGTGTAAACTGTACTACTCTCACAATAACTTAATACCCTAGAGAACAGATTTTGATTAAAATTTGTTTTACAAGAAAACATTCACGGTTTCATAAATGTGTCTTCATATTCACCTCCAGTTCATTGCGAGTACATGTGCATGTGGCAAGCGATTATACTGCACCCACGCGTTACAAACGGTAACTATAAAAGAGACACACTTCGATTTATACGTGACGTCACTATGGTAACGCTCAGCCTCCCGATTGGATGACATCGTACCAGCTGATTTACGTCAAGTGCAGTCATACCGACTCATACTTGGGTTTTTATTTCTTGGCGCGCGAGGCCTTGTCTGGAATGGAACGATGGAATAATTACAGTGGAAATAATTTATGTCTTATTTCCACCATATCTCACAGTACTTGCGTCTTTCTCAGTCATGCCACATATTCGCGACCGTATCGGGCAGACATCTAGCGGCATGACTGAAAGACACGAAATACCGTGAGTCGCGAAGAAAAGGCCAAGCGCGATAAGAAATAAAAACTCGGGTATGTTTAAATCCAGGTGTACTTCGAACCATACTCTTTGCATTCTTTGATTAGAACCGAGTCCGTCGACACCTGTTAATGGAAATATCTAACGACATATGCGTTAACCTTTAGTGAGTTTTTAGAGTTCGAAATTTGTATTTGCTATGTTCAATTACCATTAAATAGTTATTAGAAGTATTAATAATTGTAAAATTGGTATAATTTGTTATTTTTTTTACTTGTTACTGTTTTATATTAAGTTACAAATATTAAATTTTTTCAAGTGACACCTGACAAGTGGAATCAGGTTGTTACTTATCCAGAAAAAATAATTTTGACTTATTGAAATAAATTAAAAAATTTATTAGTATCAGACGTATTAATTGACATACTAGATAGTAGAGAGGAAGATGGGATACAAGAAATGGATAGTCCCTAATAACAATTCAGCTTTTTTACTTTTTTTAAAATCATATTTGGTTATTAGACAGTAGTTTAATTTAATCAATTTTCATACCTAAGGTTATGTCATTTACTGTAATTTATTATTTTATTATTATGATTGTGTGTGTATCAGACACTTCTTTTTGTAATTGACATTTTTTTTACTGCTTTGGTCCAGGAAAGAATATCGAGGCATAACCTTCTCTCACACCTTTACTCAGCGATTCAGTATGACACTTCGTTATTATCCTGATCATTCTCTAAGCCCTTCCTGGTTCAATTTATTTAATACAACACATCTTATGCAATTGAAATTGTTACTTACAACTGTCATGTTTAAAACGTGTATAAATTATTGCCTGAATAAATTAAATGACAGTGAATTAATCGCCTTCACTTCACAATGTCTCAGGCTTCAAAGAAAATATTTTATTTTTTAAAGGTTTTTAAAGCTTTTCATATACTGATAAATGAGCCTATTTGTTATAAATTTAATTATTGTAGCCATGTTTGTTACATAAATAAATGTTTTTAATATAAAATTGTTATTTACTTTCAATATTGGCAAAATTCACAGTACAGTGAAACCAGGTTTGATACAGTTTACTGTTATTCAAAACTATTTGTTTTTAATCAATATTCTCCTTTATTTAAATTAAACTTAAAATCCCGAGCAAAGTCACTTTTAAATACAAATTTTGATTTTTGATCAATTTAAAAAATTTTGGGAATGTATTTCTTATGTTGATCCTTTACATAAGTTTGATTGGTTACTAATATTAAGTGGTTCTTTTGTAGTTTTTTTTTTATTTTTTTATTATTGTAACCATTGATAGTACCTGAAGACGGAATACAATTTTACAAAACAATTGTCGTAATAAACATTAAACTGAAAAGACATCAAACCTGGTTTCACAGTTATGTAAATTAAAACACAGGTCTTCCATAATTCCTTATTCACATTTCATTATTATATTCTTAAATCACGGGTTTTCAATAATGTATTTTTTATTACAAAATATTAAGTTTACTCCGTGGATGATTTATAAAATTGTAGGTCTCACAACTCGCCCTAAATTAATTAATAGAAAAAGCTATATATTTTGTGTAATTTAATAATTTTTCCCGAGGTACGCCGTTCCGTCGGAAATCAATCCGTGAGTATACTTATATATTAAATATATTTTTGTTGTGAATTGATCATTTACGAAAAATATTGCATTTTAACCTAACAAAATGGGGAAAAGTAATTGTGTATAAATTCCGCAGTGCAATTCATTCCAAATATCCGTCCCTTTGAATATCGCGGGTCAGGTTGAAAACCACGGGTTCAGAAGTTGGCGATACTGGTGGGCAGTCGTCAACGCCAACATAATGGAGATTTGGTGCGGCCTGTTACGTTGCTTCAATAGGAGTAAGATTTTCCTTTTTAACTCTCAATCTTTGACGAATTAAGAACGAATTGAATGAAGGGCATGCACTGACTGGGAAAACAGCAATACAGAATTCACCCAATGACAAATAAATAGTATTTTTATAAAAGGCAAAAACATTTTTACAAAAGATCATACAATTTATTCTTTTAAAAACATTTTAACAAATATGGACGTCAATACATAAAGAATACTACATATGTACTCAGGATAGGCAGGGAGGGCAGTAGAAATATAATTGAAACAATATTTCAAATACACAATAATTTATCACATATTTTCATTATAAAAAAAATGTACAATGTTTTCATTTCTTCAATCGCTTCGCCAAGGACTTGGAATCGAATTTATGATGTTGACACATTCATTATAACCTTCCAGATCTGAAATAAATCGAAAAAAGTTATTGTAAGTAGCCTCTTGGCCCTACAAAATGAAACATTTTATTTCCATAAAGATTTCAAATCTCTCTAAAAAATTACATGATGCAATATAAAATTTCTACTGTCAACAAATAGATGGACACATAAGTATATCCGCTTTAGGGTAACTCCATTATTCAAATTATTTCCTGTAGCACAAATAAATGGCTACCAATGATTAAAATGAGGTATAATATTCCATTGAAATTCTGAAAAAGGTCAGGCCAAACAAGTTTCAAATTTTATGTACTAATATAATTTGGTTTCAACATTATTATTTATTAATTCCTAATGTATTTAATATTTGTGTTAAGGCCATTTCAATTTTGGTTGATGAGTGGAAGACAACAGGATGTTCAAAGCTCTTCTTGGAAAAAACTTGTGTCATCCAGTCTCAGCTCTACCTCATTGTTCCATAAGTTACACTGACTCATCCAACAACAGCAAAGACAGTCTTTGGAAGAAAGGGAATGAGCATTAATGAGCACAAGGAAGCACAATCAAAAGGCATTGCAAGATGCCTTGTAACAAGCTTAAAGCTGTCATCCCATGGTGCAGCAAGCCTGGAGTGTGCTGCCAGCTTTCTCGTGAAGGCATTTAAATCACAACCCATGTCAGTCAGCAATCCACAAAGAGAGGAACCCAGGTGAAGAAGCACTTGGTTAGCATGCTCCATCAGGAGTGGAGCATACACTTTCACAGCATATGTGTTAATAGCTTTGAATACTTTGTCATCCTTGTCACACTGTAAGGCACAGAAGGAAAGAAGAAGAATACTTTTTCGTGGTCCTCAAGCGAAGTCACGAAGCAAAAGAAATAAATTTCATGTGGAAATTGAAAGATAATAAAAGGTCAATCGCAGAAGGACTACAGGTTAGAGAAGTTCAACCTGTGGGGATCAATTGTGATGATCGTTGCCAAGTGTAAATACCAACAAGACAGTAGGCATTGATGTTCGGCTGCAGCAAATGTTCAACGAGAAAAGTCACCCCAAACCTAAGTTCGTCAATTGCCAGCACCATGTGCTGGATCGCCTTTTCAGTGTTGTCATGGACAATAAGCTCTGTGGGTAGACAAATCGCCAAACAGCGAGTACTTCTTTGTGCAGGATTTACTGAGCAATTACGATTATTTGAAATTAACCTTCAGCAACGGTACAACAGATTAAGGAAACAGGTGGCTGGAGAGACATGAAGTTTCTCTACCACTTCCCTTGTGTCTTCAGTCACTTCACTGACAGGAATCAGATCCCCTTCATGAAGTTTCAACAGATACCAAACAACAGCAATGCAACAAAGTCTTGTGTGATTCTAGCCCTTCTTGCTTTTATCCTGAAGCCTGCAACCAAGAATAGACTGCATAAAATTTGTTCATTCATTTCCTACTCCTGGGCTGACCACGAGTTCAGCAGTCAATTGTCCCGTGCTGAAGACCTAACTCACTAACCAAAACAATATACTTGAATACACAACTCAATTGTTTTAATAATGTAAAGTGGTTTTTAAATTTATCATCACTTAAAATTTTACACAACTACTTTCCTGTGACAGTTAACTCAATGTCAGTTACAATCACTTAGGGAATTGATAGAAACTACTTAGTTTCTATACAATCTTCTCAACCAAACACTTAGAATAATTTGTAAAAAGTTGTCAGAGCATGAACATGAAATGATTTTAAGATCTTATATTGATGAGATTGCCTTTACAAAAAAATCTCTTTAATAACGAAGTTTGGAAGAGAGAAATTGTATTTTCAAAATAATTATAAATTTTGAACTATTGTATTTTCAAAATGTCACAGGCCCACACACATCTGTTATTCGTACCAAGTTCACGATCTTATTCTCCAGTTGGGCAGAAAGAAAGAAGAAAAAACAAGGTCCTTACAGACACACTGACAAAAGAAACATTTTTCGCATATCAGGGACCCTGGTATTGGGTTGCACTTCAAAGAAGTAATTATATGCGTCATCATTGCCAACAATATTATTTATTACAAGAGCAGCTTTCGATGGCTTAGCCA